TTTTTTTTTTTTCCAAAAAAAATTCGTTTGAGCGAAATATGGCCGCTCAAAGTTTGGTGCTGCTGACACACACAAAGCCACACACGAAACACCATAACCCACACCATACAGCAGCACCGGGCACCCCAAGAGACCAAGCGACAACTCCTGAGCAGCGCAAGGCCAAAGAGTCGGCCGCCCTTGCCGCGGCGCAGGAGGCCAGGAAGGTTTCTAACGAGGCTGCCGACAAAATGCTGAAGAGGTTCATGGCGACAAAACTCGCTGCCACCTGAGTTTGAGCGCAGCAGCACCAGCCGCCGCGATATTGTTGGCCGATGATCGAACACCCAGGCAAAGATGACCGCCTACAGGGTGGCCTTGTGTGTGTGCGTGTTTGTTATCGACCTAATGTATCTAGATATCTCACGTTAGGGTGCTATCATTATGACAAGTATAGCTTGGGGAGCTGCTGTCACGATCAATATAAAATATTATCACATTCAATAACTGCTAGTATGTCGGCGTTTCGAGGCAGTTTCGGGGAGAATGGGGGTCCAGTGGGGATTTTTGGGGGCCCGTGAGTGCATGTGGGGGCCCCGTGGGATCATGGGGGGGTCAAATTCGCCAAAAAGTGGCCAAATACACGGATTTTTTTTTTGACCCCGGATTTCGATGCTTCTCGACCGTGCGGTTCTTGCCAACTTTGTTTCACGATTCAATTCCTAAAAATGAGCGAGAAAAAGTGGGGGTCACGTTGTGGCAAAATTTAACCGGACAGACTATAGCGCCCTCGTGCTTGTTGTCGCAACAGAATCGAAAGCGGCGGCGGCATGATGCAAAAGGTCGCCAGGCAGCGAAACGAAAGTTCAAGGCACGTTTTTCGTGTTTCCGCGAGGGCTGGTTTGTTGGTGTCTCTGCAGGTTGCATCGGGAATGTCGGCAGCTGTGATCTTGATCGTTATCTTATGCGAACAGCATCCGTAGGACGACACTTTATGCAAGTTTAGGCGCGTGCTGAAATCTTACACATCCCGTACTTGTTGTGCGGGTCCGCACATCCTTGGTCTGGAAGGTCCAACCCTTCTTCGGTGGAAAAATTTCCTACCCAACACGAACATCCATGTTTCATTTTTATTTTGTGCATGTGATGGTCCAAATCGTGGCTTTTGAGATTGCAATGAAAACAGGCATAATCAAGCGAGGCGATGGCAACGTATGCTGGCCGAAAGGATACTGAACGATGCATACCCTATCGGAAGTTCGCCGTGGACAAGCCCGACGCCGCTCGTCCAAATAAGTTGTTCTTTCCGCTGCAATGCTGTTGCAACGCGGCACCTTGATGTTGCCCAAGAAACAGGTGTCCGACGCCTACCATCATATTCTTCTTCTACCTTCCTTGACTGTGAAAGAAAAGGAAAATTGTAGGCTGAGAGGAAATATACACAAGAAAAAATAAATCCCCCGTAGCAGGTGAAGATACACTCGGTACGCGATCGTCTCAACTTGAATACTTGTCCCGGCACGTAATACCTGTTTTCGAAAAAGTAGGCGCGTACAAACCCATTAAACAAAGTGGTCGTGTCCCATGACTGGTGGCAGGCTGGATGTTGATGTAAAATGAAACGCTGGCTAATTCCATGTTCGTTTCACCCGCTGCTTCCGCTGCTGCTGGTCCTCCTGCTGTTCCTGGTGTTTGCCCGGCAAAGGCGACGCGGGAACCGCAGACCTGGCGTTCGAACACGTGACCCTACTTTCGGGGAGGAGGTCCTCACGGAACAGCTGTACCAACAGATGATAGCGGAGCCGATGTCACCGAAGAGGTGCAATACTGATAGCGCTCAAACGATAGTGCTCGACGAGGGTTGGGTTGACTGCGTTACAAAGTTGTCGTTGTAGCGGCAGTCGAGCGGTTCCACCGCTGCTAGGGTTCCGCGGGTCTACTCGAGCCTTGGCCAGACGATATTCAAGCCGCTGGGCATGGCAACGGGGCACAAAACATACTTCACAGAGGACCCCGCAAGACCTCACTGAAGGCACTATTGGACATGCTGTAACCGTCCTCGTAGTTCTGTTGTGCGAACCTATTGGCAAATTAGTCGACCAACGCACCGACCCGTGTTACTGAAAGTGACTGCACAGGTGCTGATGTTGATGCTGATGCCGTTCCAGTCATGTGAAAAAACTCTTTGGCGGGGACACAAGAGCAATCTCGCGTGGATCAGAGGAATCGGTTTGGAAAAGGTGAGCTCCTTCGGGATTCCCTGTAATACTTTGCGGTGCAAATGGTCTACTCTGAAAAGATTAGACTATGTTGTATTCATTTTATTCTGTCAGAGCTGCTCGCCCAACTTGGAACGGGCGTGTCATGTAACAACGCCCATGTCGATCCACTCACGGGTGTTCGCTGTGTCTGAGTTGTGTGCGATTCAACATCCTCGGTATCGACCGCACTTTATGGTTGGCTCCCGAATGCACGTCTGTGTGATCTAAAGGCGGTGGAGAAATTTATTTTGCACGATAGTGTGAGTGACTCTTGTCCGTTGAGAACCTACACACTACGCGGTAGAACTTTTCGTCCTCGCTGCACACATTTGCATCGCATCAGTTTGTATGCGCGAGAGAGAGATACGCCGCACGCCATCTCGTGCGGCCTATTTCGTCCCCGCTACGGCGGTGTCTTTCTGGCTGCTGGCCTACGTCAGCGTGCCAGCTCAGCGTGCCAGCTCAGCGTGCCAGCTCAGCGTGCCAGCTCAGTCCCCGCCACGTCGGCTTATCCGATGGCGGTGCCCTCGCTCTGCTCGCACCCCTCTGTCACTTCTGTCCTTGTCCCTTCGGCTCTCACCCGAGATCCAACTCTGTCAACCTTTGTCTGTCCGGTGCTTTCTACGCATCGTCCATACCCACGACCGTTGCTCACGGAGGCCTCTTGTACCTTACAAGAGTCGAGGATTCACACCCTCCTGCGGTGCTTGTCTGAGAGCCAACCTATATCTGGCGTCAGCGAAGAACCTATACCGGTCAACCTCTCAGATTTGCGCTGCAGTGTCCTCCATATCCCACCATGTCCAACCCCGGGGTCGAAGAAACGAAAATGAACCACCCCGAGGGTGGATCTTCCACGGGCGAGGGCGGCCTTCCGCCCGCTCCTGCCCCCACCCCTGCTCCTGCCGCCGCGCAGGAGACTCCCCTGTCTCGCCCTCCAGCGACTCAGTCAACGTTGGCCACCAGCTGCGTGGCGACGCTCTCGAGACGCACCAGGAGCAGCTCGCGCTCGCTGCGTCTCGCGAGCCCGCCGCCGCCGCCGCCATGGATATCGACGACGACCTCGTCTCTCACCCTAGCGTCGCCAACTCCCACCCCGTCACCGAGACCCCTCCCCCTGGCGCCTCCGTCCTCGACGCAACGATCGCGAGCCTCACCCGCTACATCGAGAACGAGTCAGAAAAACTCGCCCGGGGAGACATCACGGAGCTGAGCCTTCACACCATGGAAGTTATGGATAAGGTGGTGAGTCTGCGTGCAACTGCCTGTAGTCAATCTTCCTCGGTGTCCCCGTCTGTGTCCCTCAGCTCTGTCTCTGTCCCTTCGCTAGCTCGTAGCTTTGCCGAGGCCCTGTCAACTAAGTCTCACCGTGTCACGCTGTCCGCCAACGATGTCAAGCAGCTCCCCCGTCTCACGGGATCTGCTGACACCGATGTCATTTCTTGTCTCAACCAGTTCCGGCTAGTCTGCAGTTTCCGTGTCAAGGCAGTAGCACCCGCTTCTACCACCCCGTCTGACCTAGAGTCAATGTCTGATCAAGCCGCTTTCGAGCACCTGTCGCTGATCTGTGATGGCCCCATCCTGTCTTTGTACCAACAAATCATGGACGGCTCAATCAACTGGGAACAACCCCAAGGGTCTGCTTCCACCGATAGCCCTGGCTCTCACACTTGTCCCACGAACTAGTCCGAGCTAAAAACCGCCATGCTCGATTGTTTCATGCCGTCCAAATCTGTAGAGGAGTCTGCCCTCCGTCTTGCCACTTTCCAAATGGACAAGACGGAATCTGTCGCAGCGTATGCCCTCCGCTATCAAGCAGAAATGTCACGCTTCGAAGCATCTGTCGAACGGTTTTCACAAGGGGCTTCCCCCTATGCCGCTCTGTCTGTCGTCCTGTTTCGCAATGGCCTTGTCCCTGATATCAAACTCCTCGCTAGTCAGGAGCAGCACCCTAAACCCATGCAGGGTGCTGTGTCACAGGCTCGTCGCCTTGAGGCTTCCAAACTCACCCTCGTCGTGCTGATGCATACACCAGCGCCATGGCTTTCACGCATGTCCCCAATCGCACCGCTATCGCCCAGCAGTACAACGCGATCCAGCTCCGGAACGCCGCCGGCNTGCCATGTCTTTCACGCATGTCCCCAATCGCACCGCTATCGCCCAGCGGTACAACGCGATCCAGCTCCGGAACGCCGCCGGCATTGTCCCCGCGCGTCGATCCGACTCGGGCTCCGGTTCTGGCTCTGGTGGTGGGTCGGGCTCTGGGGGTCGCTCTGATTCCGGCGGCCGCGGAGGAGGCAACTCCAACCGCGAGCGCCGCAGCAAGGGCAAAACCCCCGCCGCTCCCCGGCCCCGCTGTACCTACTCGAAGTGCAAGAAGCCCCTTGGACACACATTCGAGACGTGCTTCCAGCGCCAGCGGGACGAGCGGGACGAGGACTCGGGCAACGGAGGCAGCAGCAGGGGCGGTTCCGGCGGCGGAGGCGGAGGCAAGCGCGCCAAGAATTCGTCCACCTCCAACAACTAGGGGTGCCCTGCTGCTGCTGCGCCTGTGGTAGTAGGCNGTCCACCTCCAACAACTAGGGGTGCCCTGCTGCTGCTGCGCCTGTAGTAGTAGGGAATTGTTCTGGTGTTGCCAGTAGAGGCGTGAAGAGGAAACTCTCCACGTCTGTAGCTGTGTCTGTCTCTACCCCCGACTTTCTTGTCCCCCGTGTCCCTGTCCGTCATGGTAACTATGTAGTGCCTAAAGTCCGCGCCCGTCCTCACGGTACAGAGCGTGCGTTGTACGGCCTCTCTAGCGTGTCTGATCTTCGTGTCCCTTCCTTGCAGGCTGATGACGATGGTGTTGAGCCTGTGTGTCCCCGCCCTCCCTCCCGGAAGCGGAATCTGAGTAGCAATAATGTCTCCTCGGCTTGCGCCGAGCCTCCGTGCCCAGCTTTAGCAACGTCCTGTCCTAGTGTTGCTGAGTCACGTGAGAATGTCAAGTCTACTCAGTCTGTGTCCGAGTCCCTGTGTGCGCGTGACAGTGTGTCTTCGCGTAGCAGTTCAGGTTGTGTGCACCCGCGTGGGCGTGGTAGACGCGGGATACGGAAGTGAAGGAGGAAGTTGTCTTCTGTCAATAGTAATACGAATGATCAAGTGTGGTACGGCTCAAGGCTGGCGCACAAAACCATCGACTTTTCGCTGTCTTTTTCNCGTGACAGTGTGTCTTCGCGTAGCAGTTCAGGGTGTGTGCACCCGCGTGGGTGTGGTAGACGCGGGATACGGAAGTGGAGTAGGAAGTTGTCCTCTGTCAAAAATAATACGAATGATCAAGTGTGGTACAGCTCAAGGCTGGCGCACAAAACCATTGACTTTTCTCTGTCTTTTTCGTCTCGACGAGTCCGCATCGCCGGCTCCGTCGACGACGTCCCCGTGAATGATATCACGGTGGACACAGCTACCGACGTGCCCGTCGTGTCGCTTGCTTGGTTGCGGTCTCATCCCACCTTGCAGTCTGTTCCTTTAAAACCTGTCCCTCCGTCCGCTGTAGCGCTTCGTGCCGCAAACGGCGAACCGATCAATGTCCTAGGATTTATCGATTTCCCTCTCACCCTCAGCGAAATCACCCGTACGGTGACCGCTCTTGTTGTCCCCTCTCTGGGTCCTGACCTCATGCTCCTTGATAACAGTGTCATGTCTGATTTTGGAGCACTCCTAGATTGGGAAAACGAAACCTTGCTTTTTTCGTCCTCTGGTTCAACCATACCAGCTGTTCATCGCATCCGCGATTCTGTCTCTTCGAATAGCACCAACCCGTCTCCCTCGTCCCGCGACGGAAACCTGTCCGTGGCCGCTGTACATAGCCATACTGAAGCTATTCCTGTCATTTTGTGTGAAAAGGTCATCCTCAAACCCAAAGAAAAAGGTCTTGCTGTTGTCTTCACCAATTGTCTGCCACCCGAAGATTGTACCGTCGTGGTAGAACCCCGCATTGTCACCGAAGCGGATTTAGCTGCAGACGGCACACTCGAGCCCTTCAAANGTCACTCCCCCAGAAATTATGTCTTGGCCATTTGTCTACTGTCTCTGTAGTCACCCCTGATGAACTACGTGTCAATGCTGTCGCGAACACCCCCGTCACCGACGAGGAAGTCCGCCGCGCTAGGTCTGATCTTGAAGGTCCTCTGTCCAAAGCGNAGCCTTTTCCGGATCCACGTTCACCTCTGAACAAAAGGAATCTGTCTTAGACTTGTGCGCGAAATATCGTCCCGTTTTCTCTCTGTCCATGTCCGAACTCGGTCGTTGTACGATCGCCGAGGCAACGTTCCCCGTGCCACCTGGCACCCGCCCCGTCGATCGTCCGCCGTATCGCCCCAACCCCCGTACCTCAGCCGTCATCGATTAAATGTGTTGAAGATATGCTAGAATGAGGTATTATCGAGAAACGGCCCAGTCCATGGGGCAGCCCTTGGACCATTGTCGCCAAAAGCAACGGCAGCCCTCGTTTCTGTGTTGATTACCGCCACACCCTCAACCGCAACATCATTCGCAAGACTTGTCACTGCACCGCTAGTTGATCTGACTCGCAAGGATTTCGTCAAACCCCGCAAATTTCGAGAAGCTTGGGGGCCGGACCAAGACGCCGCCTTCCAGCAACTCAAAAATGCTTTGGCTTCCGCCCCTGTCCTCCACTTTCCCGATTTTTCGAGCAAATTTGTCGTGCACACTGACGCTTCTGAGCTTGGTGTAGGTGCCTTCCTAGCCCAACCGTCCAAAGATAGCACCGACGACAAGGCGGTAGATATTGTCGCCTCTACAGACGCTTTAAAGCAGGCCAACGCCACTATAGTCCCACTATGAAGGAGTGTACGGCGGTTGTCTGGGCCCTGACCCACTGGCGCCCATACCTTTGGGGCCGGCATTTCACTTGTCACACCGACCACCAAGCGCTGACGTACCTGTATCATGTGCAAGATACGTCTAATATGCTTACTCGTTGGGTCATCTGTCTGCAAAATATCGATTTCACCGTCAAGCACGTTCCGGGGAAACTTGACGTAGTCCCGGACACCCTGTCCCGCATGTTCAGCGAAATCGACGGCAAACCTCTCCCGTCCGAGCCTCGGCTCGGCGCTATCTGTCGCAATGTCCCCGATGACCAACCATTCTGCCCTCCTGTCCCTCGTGAATACGAAGTGTCCGCTTGCAATTTAGACGACATTGTCCCCGTCGAAAGCGACCGTGAGTTGTTCTCTAGTGCTATGTCTGTTTCCCATGTTGTCGATACTGCCAAGTTGCTCGATCATCAAAAGAAAGAGTTCCACCAGTATTTCGATTACTTGGAAAACCCCACCAAGGCTCGGGTACCACTCCACCAGTCTAAGTCCAGCATGAGTAAATTTTTCATCCACGAAGGTCTACTCTGCCGCTCTTATGTCCCTGCCTACTTGCGTAGGCGAGGCACTTTTCGTGACCAACTGGTAGTGCCCGACTCTTTGCGGAAACTCGTCATAAATGCATGTCATGACCTCCCGGCGTCGGGTGGCCATCTAGCCTTTAAAGGTACTTTCGACAATGTCCGCGATCGTTATTGGTGGCCTACAATGCACAAAGACATCAAAGACCACGTCGAAAGCTGTCTCTCTTATCAACACCGCAAAACGTCGCATCGGCCACCCACCCTGCCCACAGGGCACCGACCGGTCACCAACCCTTTCCAGGTTGTGGCTGTTGATCTTGTCGAATACAAATCACAGTCGGAACCGATTTATCTTGTCTGTCATCGACCATCTCACACGCTTCCTCATTCTCATACCCATTCCGTCCAAGGAGGCTACCGTAGTGGTCCGTCATCTCATTGACCGTGTCTTTTCGGTGTTTGGTCCGCCGGAAACTTTGCATTCTGATCAAGGAAGAGAATTTGAAAACCAACTCGTGAAAGAATTGCAAACTATCTTTGGGTACAAGAAAACCCGCACGGCCGCGTAACGTCCGCAAGGGAATTATTTTCTCGAACGTGTCCACAACACTGTCCACAATATGCTTGCCATGTATAGCAACCTGGCTTGTGATAATTGGTCAGAACTGTTGCCTTTTGTCCAGCTTGCACACAACACAGCCTATTCCAAGACATTGGAGGAAACACCCCATTATCTCGTCTTTGGCCGTGCCCCTACCCTGCCTGTCGAACTTATTCTCGGAGTTCCCGCTACCGATGCTCCGCAGAGTCGTCTTGACTACTCGCGTCGCACCGTAGAGAATCTGCAACTCGCTTACGAGTTGGCCCGTCGCAATCTCAAAGAACGCACGGGTAAGCAAGCTGCCGAAAACGAGAAATTGTCCTTCTCTAGTTTCAAAATGGGCGACCAGGTTTTGCTCCACCACCCGTACAACGAAACTGATGGCCCCAATCCCAAGCTCGTTAGTCCTTGGCACGGGCCATACACTGTCAAATCTCAAATCTCTCCTGTCATTTATCGTGTTTCAAACCCCAACGACCCCGCAGAAGTCACCGTCCACTTGGGTCGAATGAAACCACTTTTCCAACCTACGTCGTCCCCTGTCCCCGATTTTGAGGCTCTAGACGACATGTTTCTCGGAACAGCCCTTCCTGTCCCTGATCTTGATGGCTCTATGCACACCGTCACGATCGGCCCGTATGTCGTCGAAGCCATCGACGGTCATAAACGGGGAGTGGGCAAAGCGTCGGTGGATAATTTCCAATACCACCTCAAACTGCAAGGCCAGCCTCCACAGTGTGGAGTTTGGCGTCACTACAGCACCCTCCCACAATGTCGGGCAATGATCGATTCCTATCGAGCTGTAGTCATGTCTGAACATCCCTCGGCATTCGACCCGCCACGCAAGAAGTCACGGCGCCGTTCGTCTCGCCGTCGGAACACCTAAGGGCAGTTGTGTCGCGCGTTATCTGTTGTGTCCAGTGCATGTCTGCCTCGGTTTTTGCAACGACCGAAGCCCGGCGCCCGCGTGTCTGTCAGTATGTACTGTAGCAGGCTACTTTTGTACGCCTCTTTCATGGCTGTCTGTCTTCTGTCGCCTGTATTTATTGTTGTTCCTTTGCGTTGATCGTGCGGCGTACCGTGCACACGCACCTCGGGGCTGTCCTTTTTCTAACAGGCACGCCCTACGATCGTGTATGCACGTCTTTAGGCTGGGAACCTTGTCGTGTTTCGAGGAGTTAGCGCCGCGTGTCCATGGATCATCGTGGTTTGGGTTTTTCTGTCCCTAGGTCTATCGTGTCTGGTCCTTCCCACTCGTTGAGTAGTACACGAGATTTGACTACTTGTGGCGTCTTGAGAGTGGCAGTGACATTCCGCCACAGGGGGATTGATTTCACGGACGATTCGTCGAGAAGAGCGATAATCATACACGACGAACACCGTATCTTTCCACGGGTTTCATGGGTACCACACGCCCTCGTCTCTCCTCGCTGTAACGCCCTCCAGAGGGTCGGTTGAAGGATTCGAGACATGGTTGTCGCTGTGTGCATTTTTTCTGGTGCGGGCTAGTTTTCCAATCCCCAGAAAAGCGACAAACCTCGAGCTGACTCTCCTGTTTCATACATGATCTGTGTTGGAAACTGTGCCGTTATCCAACTTGTCAGCCATGACTTTCTCTGTCTTTTGTCTGTCCGTGCTCCTGGCTCGCATCAATACTGTCTGGCCACGATGCGTCCACGTTGCTTTAGCACACCCAGGATCTCCAATATTACGATCGATCACTCTGTCCACCGCACAGCGTCATTTCGCCGCATGCGCCGTCGAACTAATTGATGTCCTGCAGGCCACAGCATCTTTCTGCTGTGTTCAAGTAGTACACCTGTCTACGCTCTCTGTCCCATTCTCTCCTGTCGATCCTGGCAAATTCTTGTTCACGTGTCTCTCACCGCATGACACACCAATCAGTACTCTCTTGTCCAAGCATTACACGCTCGCCCTGTCCGCTGTCATTGTTCTGTCCTTCAAATTCACCCGCATCATTCTCTAGAATGATCCCGCACATTTTTTGCGTTCGAGCGTACCAAGAAACGGGGGGTAGTATGTAGCCTCTCAGTCGCTTCGTCCCTCATTACTGCTCGAGTTTTGTTGGAGGGAGCGCTACCACCAACAAAATTGGGGAGTGATGTGAGTGACTCTTGTCCGTTGAGAACCTACACACTACGCGGTAGAACTTTTCGTCCTCGCTGCACACTTTTGCATCGCATCAGTTTGTATGCGCGAGAGAGAGATACGCCGCACGCCATCTCGTGCGGCCTATTTCGTCCCCGCTACGGCGGTGTCTTCCTGGCTGCTGGCCTACGTCAGCGTGCCAGCTCAGCG